AATCCAAAGAAGCAGAGAAGAAAGACAAGAAGAAGAAACAGTCAAACGAAGCCGGCGAAGATGCTGACGATTGGGTTTGGGATTTGGAGGGTCAGACTTGGGCTGAAATGGATCTCACTGCACCACCACCAGATGAAGAGTGGTGGGGTAGCAATTCAGGATTCTAAAAATTGGAATCCAGTAGGTCGTGGAATAGTAGGTCGTACGAGCTTTTCCAACCAGCTTGAGAGGCCTACATGGGGTCTGCTCTCACCCGTGGGAGCATGGGTGCTGAAAGGGTGGAAAAATAATAGCAAGTCATTGAATCATTGCATCATGGCATCAACAAAGACAATGACACATCATCGTTATTGATCGTTTGTTTCCATGGTGAAATGGTGAGACCTGGTCGTAGGCGTGCGGCGGTGGACGAGCAGAAGAAGACTATTGATTCTTTAGTGGATGAGCTCTTCACAGAACTTGCAAACGGATGCGCGGCCCGTCTCAACTGGTCGCATGGGAGGTGTCAGGCGTAGCTTCCTTCATGAGACTCCGAGTTGCGCATGCGAGGCCAGCATCTCAGCGGTCCAGCGGAAGGTGTCCAGGATTGCGAAGCTGAATCATGATCTGATTCCGTTCTTTCCTCAGCAAGCCATTGTGAAACTGCTTCAAGTCTCAAAAGTTTTCCCTTACCACTCATGAGGCCTGACGTCTTGGATTTGTACACTGCCTTCGAGTGTGGTGGTGGGTGGGGCTTGGAGCGGACATTTGCGAAGTGGTGTTCCAAACAAAGCTGGAGGCAGGTGATGCCGACTACATACTTTGAGTTTCATGGAGTCAGGAGTCTTCATGTTTCTTTTTGTTGTTATGTAAAAAGATCGCTCAACACCTGTTTCTTCAAACCTGATTCCATGTGCAAAGTATAAGGTTCGAGGTCGAAGTTCCTTGACTTATAGAGTAGATTCACCTTTGTTTTTTTCAGGTCGTGTAGATGGCAACCTTCCCTGATTGCAGTTTTGCCTTCGTCGTTTTTGCTTATCCCAGGCAAGACCCTCCACCAAGGGTGCCTTGATAGACAATGTCAAGATGCTCAAACAACATGTCATGCTCCCCCATGACATATTTGGGGCTCTATACAAGTGGCCTGGTGTCTTTCACTACTTGCTGACTGGAACTCCTGGCAAGCTTCAGGAATACTGGGCGAACAACAGTGATCTAGAAGCAGAAGTCCGCTTACCAGGGGTCGCAGCTAAATCTAAGAGCAAACTTTTCTCGTTCAGAAAACTAGTGTTTCCCTGATGTTTCCCAGATGGGGGATGGTGGTGGTTTTCAGAAAAACAGTGATCCAGCAAACTCCCCCATCCCTCGAATTCGATTCAGTCCCACCTCTCCCTCGATCTGTCCCCCAATCATTAGGACATCAGTCACTTCTTCCCAGTTCGGCTCTATGGTGATGGAGCCGAAGCACAGCAGCCATTCGAAATCTACACGATCCTGAGCGTGATGGGAGAATCTGACAGCACTTTGGATTCCCGTCTCTTGACGACGACCCGAAATACTCTTTCGACTGCCGACACCGCTCGAGATAGAATTCTTGAAGTTTTGGCCTGGTCTCTTGAAGCCTGCCGTACCCCACTCATCCATTAGAAGTCTTTTTCGATTCTTTTCAACTAGTTTATAGGGGGTGTTCAGTAGTTTTTTGATATCAAAAGATAGATGGATGGTGAGGCAATGGAGTCCATCCAGCTGTGGATCCCTGGGGCAAACCTTTCTCAGAGTCCTATATGAAGGACCGGTGGGAGAACGCAGGGACCAGAATTATGGGCCCCTGGCATGCGGCTTTGGATGGGTGTCAGGGGGACGCGGACTTTATTGCACACCTGTTCAAGCTGAAAAGAACCATGGAATGATTGAAAAAGATTTCATTATTCTTTTCAAAAACCTCCAATATTCGTTCATTGTTCCCAAATTATTTGACCAATTAGGAAGTTATCGGCATACCCACTGCTGCTTTCATTGTGAAGCCATGCAGTCTGTTCAAGATGTAGAAGATGAAGGACTGCTTTACACCAACTTTGGCATAGATGCAAAGTACCGTGCAAGGCTTCTCAGCTGAATCCGAGTCGAGTCTCTTAAAGCAGCCCATTCGAAAGCTAGTGGAGGCCATCGCCAGGTACATCGGATCGCTTGGAGGCCATCGCTTTCCGCTAGTACGTATAGGTTGGGAGAATCTGAGGCTTACGACCTCGAAGGAGTTTGTGGAGAATTTGTCTGATTCCCCTATCTGCCAAATCACAGGATTTGATAGTTGGCGAAGCATGGATTGCGATTAAAACATGTGTTCTATGATTTGCATGTGATGATAGTGAGCATGATTCACTTGGGTCAATATCAGGGCTCTGTGAAGCCAAGGAATCTACCCAGATCTTTTGCACATTTGCGATTTGGCTTTGTTTGCTGACCTGATTGCATCTGCCTTCTTGGTCTGGACAGACGATCAGCAAATCTTTCCGGCACGATCGAGGGACAAACGGTTGAGGGAATTATACGCAGTGTATTTAGCCTGGTGCATCAAACATGGTCACTAGACTCAAAGATTCGATAGGTTTTGTGCATCTGGGTCCACACAAACAGTTGGTTTGGATGTCTCTCCAAAAGGGGAAACCCTTGCCACGCTTAGTTGAGCCCAGGTATTCCACACCATTCCAGAGCACGAGCTGTCCTGTTTGAGAGGGATTCTTTGCAAAAGAAAACCCACGCCTATCCGAATATCGGCCAGAAAAAAATGAATGGAGCTTCGTCAAGGATGATGATCCTTTTTGCAAACCAATATGCCTCGCAAATCTCTGAAGAGAACCCTGACATCGATGTCTACAGGTGTACTGGGAAAACAACATGTTTAGACTTGTTTGAAAACCAGCTTTAAATTTGAAGGTAGCCCAAATGCACACACTGTTTAGTGTACCGCTCGCAGTGCAGGTGGATTGCTTCAGCCTTCAGTGGGCTGGCATTGATGAGCATTATCTTTGCGAAGAACCCACGTGGGCTGCTTCCAAGTTCAGATGTGGCTGAAGCGACAGAGGGTTACATGAGGTATAGAAGAGCGTACAATAGCGACTTAGCTGTGAACAAAAAAACTCATGGGTCTCAACTTGTGCATTGTGTTTTTTCAGCTCTGGAACAAGTGCCCAACGACCATTGACAGGCTTGTCTCTATGGGCCTTGGACGTTGGCCGCTTGCTGTTTCAAGTCAGACCGAAGGTTCATCAGTTGGAACATTTGCAGCTCAGCTGTATGTATCTTGCGCTGTGTTTTTCCATGCGTGTTGCTGCAAGAGCCATGTTGCAAACTGGCTTTGCTGTGGCTTAAGCTTAGGATCCTTGACTATTTGCCAGTGCATGGCAACCCCCGGTATTATCAGTGCCTTTTGGACGAGGATATGGTGAGAAGGATCAAAGCTATCTGCACAAAGCTGCACACTGTCACATTTTCACTGAGAAGTTTGCAACACTACTGTGTGATGGTGAGCTTGCGGTGGGCCAAACTCGGTCGACCCACGTGACTAATCAGTGGAAATAGAAAAGGCGTCATGTGGTGTGACATGCACGCAGTGCATATATGGCTGTGCCTGATCGTTTTGTTTTTTAAAGTCCTCCGGACACATACCCATGGCTCAAGTCGATAGTGTGGGCATGATTTTCACACACATGGCTCAAAGTTGCAAACCATCATGGTTTGGGAAAGGGAGGGGGTCTATACGACACAAGGGGTCTATACGACAAATGTCACATAGGAGGGTCTATGAGTACTCTCAACCTCTGCTGGAAGATCAAGCGCACAGCACAGACAAAAGAGCGATTCGCAGACAAAAGAGCGATTCACATCTTCGAGATTTACCCTTTCCTCTTTTGATGTGCGCTCAACGCACATGGAGTGCAGCTGTTGCAGCATTTGTATCTCGCTCTCACCGCGGTTGAGGGAGGTATTTCCAACCTGTTGCAAGATGTCTGGTAGTCATGGAAGCTGTAATGCGACCCATGAGGGGATGATCTCCCAGACCACCCCCTCCCGCACAGCCTCGAAGAAAGCCGTGTCGGCAAGACGGAGAGCGTCTTGGCTCAGCCTGCCGTTGACTGTGTTGACTGACCTGCTTGTTCTGGCCGTGCTCAACTGAGTCCACAAAAGGGCAGAGGACGAAGTTTGTGTGTGAGCCGCACACAGACAAATATCTCATCTGTGCCACATCGGGCACTCCCAGCTGACCACCAGCGGACTCGATGAGCTTTTCTGTTGAACTCCAACTCTTCGGGGCAGGTCACCTCAAAGGCCAAAGCACTGACCAAGCTCGGGACAAACCCTGTGTCCAAAATATCTGACAGCAAGGCATGGACGTCCTGCACAGCAACTCCAACTCCAGCACGGTCGCGTGGATGCACACCAGTCATCTTTTTGGCGTCAGGCGAAGCTGGCGCAACAGTTGCTCCTTCCTCAACAGTGTCAAGATGCCTTCTGCTGACTTGACCATGGAAGCTCCAGAAAGAGCCCTGTCAATCAGCACGTTGATGGTGGATGTCACTTCGGCAAGCGCGCACGCCCTCCATGGTGCAATCCTCGGAATTGAGAGTCCCACGTGATCACTTGTCACTTGTCAGAGCCAGCTAGCATGAAGTTGACATGAAATGTGCACATGCATGATCATGAAGCACAACTCATTCAAACACTGTATGCACTTGGCGTGGCATGACATGACATGACACGGCATGGCATGACATTGCATTGCGTGAAAGCATTACATTGCATGGTGTGAAACAATGCAATGACACCATTAATCCCGCTGCAAATATATAGCCCTGCAGCGAGTATAAGATCATGGTAACTATAAAGGTGTGATACTTAGCAAGTACGACAGTATGTATACATACTAAGTCCAGCGCTGCGAGTAGCTTGATATAAAGTTATGAAAAATAAAACAACTGTTCATATATTATATGTCCATATATTCCTGTTACTGTCCCCTGAGCCGACCCGACTCATAGAGCGTCAGCCGCTGGGCGCCGTTGGCATCAGCCAACCAGAAGAGATAGCTCGTCTCGCGCCTGTGACGTCGGACGCCGTCGGTGTTGGCATCGACCAAACGGGTTGGACTCGGTTGGGCTTGTTGGGCGCTGGACGGTCGGTTGGGTTCTGTTCTGCAAATGAGGTATATCTAAAATCGCAATATATCGCTATTCTGGGGCGTGGGGCTGGTATTCCTTTTCTTCGGAAGAGCCCTATCAAGGTACAGGGGTCTTTGGAGCCTGGCCAACTTCCAAGTCCTTTGTAAGTACCAGTTGTACCATCTTTTGAGAAAGTACTTCAAGATGTGTAGTGGTGGCAGTATAAACAAGGATCCCAGCGGCAGGATGTGGCTGGTTGCTCCGAAAGGCTTTTGTCTCCCGTCGCCTGCTGAAGTCCAAGGCTTCCAAGATCTCAGAAAACTCGTCACAACTTAACCTCGTCGGCGCGAGCCGCCGGGTTCCTCGACAAACGACATGAATCCAAGACATGCCGTTACAAACGCATGTCCCAGTAACGGAAATTGAGGAAAACCGATTCCTCAAAGGTCCTTTGAATTTTGAGGCAAACGCATTTGTAAAATTAATTCTGCCACATGTACCCTCTTGGTTCGTTTTTAGCCTAAAGCCCTATATCCCTATATATATATAAGCGGCCAGGTGCCAATGGTAAGGTGCGGTGCTGTCCTCCAAATAGATAGTCTCGAGATGTCTCGAGTATAGTACACAGAAGTATCCTCCCACAAAACTGGTGAAAACCAGATCGGTGGTTTTGGTCGTACCATAATTAATGATTTGTGCAACATCAGTCAAACATTGATTCCTTTCAACAAACAAAAACTGAACATGTTTTTGGCACGACAGCCACATGCAATTATATATAACATGCAATAACACCAAACAGAATCGACCTAGTATCAAGCATTTGCTGCCGAGTCTCCGCATGTCATCATCATTGTTGAGCTCCTGGAAGCTGCGGTCCCCTGATGTTTTTTTCTGTCGAGCTCCCTGCAAGAGTCAAGCGCATCAGGCGCATCGCCCTATTCAGATTGATCAGGGTGGCTCCTAATCCTCGACAGAGCAACCCAGCAACTCTTTCTCGATGATCGCCCTGTTTCGAAGCTCAGGTCCTGTCGTGATCTTCCCAGATGTTTCTCATCGAATTTCATACCCTGAGTACCCTGCCGAATTACCCCCCCATCTCCGGTGCGTCTCCTCATCCTCCATATGCTCAAAGGACTCCCTGAAAATGGCCTCTATGCTCCTGTAGCGCTGTTGTACCTGGACCGTCTGAGACGAACTCAGACCAGAACGAGGGTAGCGCGTTTGTGGGGGGGGAGGGGGACTGAGGTGGTTGGGACGAAGCGGAAACGGAGGAATTGGGAATGGACAAATGATAAACTAAGGAAGCGCAAGGAAGTGCTGACGGGATCGCTACAAGAAGTTTGGGAGATCACGGCTCTGTCACTGTCCGAGAAGCTGCAACATGATCCCGTCCGATTGTACTATGACAAAAACATCACAGGGGAAGGACAGCGGACCAACCAACATGGACACAAATGTTTAAAGTTTTATACAGCGTTACATAGCTATCCAACTGTATATACATGTTCAAAAAAACAACATCTCTGTGCTCTCCAACACCCCAAAAATGAGTTCTTAGCAACGCGCAGTCGACACACAGTGTGTGTGTGTGTGAATCGCAGTCATACTACTGTAAGACAATCTTGTCTTCGACAACATAATTTTTCCACACACATAGAGACGTCCACAACATGATAGTGTCACAATTTCCGATTTCCAGAAACATAACTTTGGAGGACCCAGAACCGAAAAACCCATAAACCTGAAACTAATACACATTGTCGCTGAGAGGACACAGGCCACAAAGGACCGACTTCAAATCGATCGACTTTTTGGAAGACCTTATGCAGGCATAGGCATAGCTGTTTAGGAACATCTCTCATGAAGGGTCCTCTTTTATTCCAAGGACCAGAAGTGCAGTAAGAAGGACGATTGTTCATCTATTTCCTGCAAAATTCTTTGCAGCCAAGAGAATCATCATTGTAACTTAACCATTCCTGCCTGCCTGTTTCGCCCCCCCCCCACGCCTTTCTTCTGAAGTCCTCCATGTGCAGCGTCGGCCGAGAGAGCGCCATCGCGGAGAGCAGCCTGAGGTGAGGCAGCGCCAGCGCGGAGGTAGCGTCGTGAAAAGGCCAGTCCTTCTGTCAGCTGAAGATCTTCAAGGCCAAAGAGTAGAGGTCCCTGACAAAGGGGGTCCCACTACGTAGATTCCTCTATATGTCTTGTGGATCTACAATTGCATCCGGTCATAAAATCAATTGTCATGCCACTAGCTGGAGAGACTCAAGACCAAGGGAAGTAACCATACTCACTTCAAACCTCCCCTCATTTTGAGACAAATATACAAGCAACTACCCAAATGGGTGCATCATATCTCATGGCCCCAACATTCAAAAGTTACCAAATTTGTATGCAGTTCAATATATATATATAGTTCACTTATTGAAAGCCATTTACAGTCTGATGTCAACCCCCCAGTGCTATGTCAACCCCCCAGTGCGACATGTCAAGAGGCTCTGATCGCGACAACTCGCCACCAGCGTCTACATCCAGAATACGGCTGGCCTCTGCGTGTGGCAGGGATGCAGGGAAACCCATGCAGAGTGAGTAGAGACCCTTTGTCAGAGTGAAGATAGCTTCTTTCAAGCCCTGTTGAGGGTCGATTTTTTCAGTACCTGATTCACCGCAGAGATGGGGTGAAGACAGTTCAACGTTCAAGACTTGCCTTGCCGTGGTTGCTGTCATTGTACACATAACATGACCCAGATCTCAAACTTGAAGGCCTGAACCAAAAAAATAGGATATACCGTACAATGCAATATCACATCACGGTCTGTAGTCTTCGATATGGTCGTGTTGGCCAAGGTGTGGACTATGAATCCTTGGTTCTAGCATGTGTCTCGCATGGAAACATGCAGGGAAGGCTAGGAAATATGATCTGTTGCATGACTGATGAGTTATGTCCATCACAAGGCAGTCCAAAGATGTCCAAAGAGTGACCCCACGCGACTTGGCACTTGGCATGTGGAGACCAAGGGCCTCAAGCACGCTCCGCACCCACTCTTTTGAGGGCGATACCGACCGAATACCTCGCCTTCTGGGCTGCGGTGGGGTTCAATCCCAGCTTTTCCAGCTTCTTCTCAAAGACCTCCAGCCATGCATGGCCGCAGCGGCCACGCAATGCATGGCATGTCCGAATTCAACGGACCACTGGCAATCGCGAGGACCACTAAACTATAGGCCTCGTCCTAAGTATTCCAAAATGAATTGTGGCAAGTGTCCAATTATGTTGTATGCGGTTCTTCCTAGGGCCTTGCCCAAAGAAACACATTGTCAACGCAGGGAGCCCCAAGCCTGGCTGGAACAAAACTCAAAGTTACAAACAAACACCATGTATATGGGCCTCAAGAAATCACGCAGCACCCTTGACTGTTCGAATGGAATGTTCCTCCTCTACAGGTTATATTGGTCAGTCAGGTAATGTAGACTCTCGATACTAAAGTTAACAGTGATCAATAAAGCATGTCTGGGGGTGGTGCTTACTAATCAAGAGTCAAGAGTCTACATTCTCTTTGTTCCAACCAAAATCACTTGACTCAATCAGCCGATCCCCGCTTCACCTGCAGGCTGATCGTCTCCCCAGAGGCAGGTCCAAGGCCTTCGCAGGTCATCTGCTCAGCGGAGCGATCCGTGTGGTAAAGGTTTGACCCTGTGGACCTGCCGTGGGGTAGATCTGGGATGGGTCGTTCTAGCTCACTAGGACGCAAGTACCTTTTCAGAAGCTACTTCGACCCTCCAAACCTACGTAGCAGCATCTTCAATCACCTTCTGAGAAGGTCCTTGGGTCCCTAGGCTAGGGCCTGGAGCTCTGGTCCACCATCTCTCTCGATTCCTGGTGCCAGAAGCTCAATGGTCCTCGGTTTCATGTTCAACATTGTTCCAAGATACTCTTAGAACGTGTCCAACGCCTCCGTCTGACAGGTTCCTAGCTCGTGTTCAGCACTTTCTTGAAGATGGTTCTTTGCTCAACCTCACTAATATCTCTTTTGGGGGGCACAGAGGTCATCCGTTTCTTTGCATCTCAAGTTCACCGTGAGAACATGGCCGTGCCTGCCCATGTGGCCTCAACGGAGCCCCACTTCTGACGGGCTCGATCCGCCTACCGGGCCCAAAACAGGCGACCGGAGGGGCCTGCGGGCCTCTTTGATGTAAACCACATAATGAGTCTGTATGATCTCAACACCAAATAGGGATGTTAAACCTGCTACGAGTAAGAAAGTCATCAAGACTAGACCTTCAATGTGTCCTTTTATGGCATGGAACTTCCATGTTCCTGGAGTTTTGGCCGACACACACCAAAAGAATCATACACATTCATATGGACGCAACTTTCCTTGGCCCGGCTGCAAACCGCAAAGCAAACCGCAACCACCCGGGTGAGTCTCCCTTGCAAAGAGGTGCCACCAGACCGACCAATTTCAACCTCGACAGGTTGAAGGGATCTCCACAGCACTGCATATCCAACCGACCAATAAAACACCACTCATGGACTTCACCTTCTCACTTCAAGCCTTCCACCCCACAGGAGCACCCCACGGCGCTCACTCCGCGTCGCTCACTCCACGGAATGCACGTCGGTGACGGCGGCTGGGTGGTCCGGGCCAGGTCTTCCAGGAGCATCCAAGGGCCCACGCTGCCGAGCGCGGACATGAGCTCATTGATCGACGCCTCTTTTCTGCGCCGGCGGGACGTCGCGCCAACCGACCCCCACGGGGGGGGGGTCATAAAAACAACAATTCAAAGACATTTTTGAAAAACAGGCTCCATTTGGGAGAAACTGGTTGGGTCTTTGGGAAAAACATGGAAAAACTGGCTGGGTCTTTGGGGAAAACAGCTTCCGTTTTGGTGAAAACCGGCGCAGGCTTTTTGGAAATTGGTTCGGTTTTGGATTGGCTTGGGACAAAGCTCAAGTCTCACTGTTTTGAACGTTGAGCATGTTTGGGTTGGGATTCTTGGGGTTTTAGGATTGGGTGTCTCTAAAAATAAGTCAACCGGTAGAAGGGTAAACTGCTGAAACTTATAAACTTTGATGTTGAAATTGTTTTGGGGTTTGTGCTAAGGACTTGTATGAGATGCCACAAGCACACACTGAATATACATAGTTCCCATTGAGTAAAACAATACTTAAACAAATATTAAGATATGCTACTAACTATATACACAATATGCCTTGTTACTTTGTAAGTAGTGGAGTTGAAATCCCGATGACAAATCAAACCTTTATTTGGAACGGTTTTGGAAACAAAGAACTCAATGACGGCGACACGTCTTCTTCGTCTGAAGAAAACTATAAAGCAAATTCATCAGTCCAAAAGCCGACAAAACCCCAATGGAGAAAGCAGGACGACGGATATTACAACAGAAAACCGAAGGACGAAACGTATTTCAAAAGATATTACCAAGAGAAAACGAAACAACCGTGCGTATGCGATATATGCGGCTCTGCCATGAGCTGCAGGTCAAACTTGGCAAAGCACAAGAAAACCCAAAAGTGCCAAAGGTGCTTAGTGTAAGTTGATTAGGATTTTATGATACAAGAAAATATCATAAAATTATAATCTAAGTATTCTTTAATGACGAGATTGGAAAAATAAAAGGTATTGGAAAAATATATTACGACGTGGAGGAGGGCTTCGGTTCGGTGAGGGACTTGTACGAAAAGGCTAGGAAAGTCGATGTAGGCATAACTTTGGATATGGTTTCACAGTGGATGAAATCTCAACCAAACAAACAAACAAGAAACTACAAGAATTACAATTCTTAGACTGCCCCTTATCCTAAATATGAATTTCAAATTGATTTGATGATTATGACAAGTCTGTTGAGGGATGTTAAAACTGAAATAAAAAAAATCAACCTACCTTTGGCTTGGTATGTATAGACATGTTCAGTAAAAAATGTCATATCGTGCCAATGGAAAATAACGACACTGATGATGTTTATGATGCTGTAATGAGGTATTAGGTCAGCCATTATCAGTCTATTCTGATGACGAAGGAGCATTAAACAGTAAGAAATTACAAGCCTATTTTAAAGGAGAAGGGATAGAACACATAATAACAAATACACACGCTAATCAGGCTGAGAGAATGATAAGGACAATTAAAAAGATGATTGCTGATAGGCTAAGAGCAAATAAAGATAAGACTTGGGTAGATATGTTAGAACCATCACTAAGTAGATACAATACTCAAGTTCATACTGTAGTTCAACTAAAATGAGCCCTAACAAAGCGCACGACCTTAAAAATGCGCTTGAAGTAGAGTCTAATCTTGCTTTAAAAGAAAAACATAATAGGAAATACCCCAACATTGGGGAGGGAGATTATGTTAAAGTTTTTGATAAAGGCAAAGGAAACTACACTTCAAGAGAAGAAACGAAAAGTCAATGGACTGATAGAAAATATAAAGTAATACTCAAAGGCCGAGACATGCTGAACAATAGCTATTATACACCGGATGGACTAAGCAAAAAATACAACCGTCATGAACTGCTACTACTTGTAAATGATTGACATTTGTTAGTTTGTTGATGTGTTTTAAGGTCATATTTTTTGACAGTTGAACCACAGTTATCATTGTTTTTGTCTCTGTATTGTTTGTTGTATTCACTTATATGTTCTTTATTGTTTTCTTTCCAACTTTTATTGTATTCAGTGTAGTAATCTGTCTTTTCTTCTCTTTTTGCCTTCAATTTGACTGTATTATTTTCTCTATAGATTTTGTCTGTTTCCTTTTTTCTTTGTTTGTTTTCCTTTCTATACCTTTCCGACATTCTTCCAACAATAATTTTGTTGATACATTTAGTGTTCTCAATGTAATATCCTTCTCTTGCTTCCAATTCCTTTTTGTTATTACAGGGGCAATCTTCAATCCACATAATTTTATAATTATCTATACCGTATTCGTCAAATATATCAAATGATGTATTCCTTCCATGCTTTCCTTTATTATGTGAATTGTATTGATGTCTGTGTCTTACCATTCTCATACTCAATTTTTCACATGTTGAGCCAATGTAGCATTTCTCAAAGTCAGGACTGACTATTTTGTAAATTTGTCCTTTTTCATATCTATTCATATCTATATTTAGCTTACGTCATCTTTTCTTTATAAAGAGATGTTAGATAATGACCATACGGTAGGCTTTCTGTGTCTGAAATCCATAGGCGCTTGTTGTCATAGTTGCTTAAAGCATATTTTGTTTGATTTATGCTGTATACTTGATGGTTCTTACTTCTTATGGTGTTGAACTGGACTTCTTCTTTTAATATTCTGTTCAATGTATCTTCATAAGTTTTATAACTTAATTGATTACTAACTTTATGCTTTACTACACCTTTACTTTTCTTATGTTCCCTGTCCTCTCCATAGACTTTGTAGCAATAAGCCTTTGGTTTCAATCCTATAAAATTAGTAACTATTTTACCGTCCATTTCATCCTTAAACTTGCCCAATACCTTTTTGTTTGATTTATCATAGTTAGGATGTTCAACATTGTAATCACTAAACTCAATATATTCCTTTATTTATTTGAAGTCTTTGTATAAATCATCAGTATCAACCTGTATTACATAACTATCAGTGTCAGTATAGACCAACTTAATATTATCTTGATATTTTGGATTCAAAACATCATAGCACAACGAATACATGTGAATTTTAGAATAGTCTAAAATAGACATACCCATATAGATAGGTTTGTTTAACTCTATTGTTTGTTTATCCTTTTCAACTATTACAAGTTCATCATTTATAATGTGTTGGTGTTTGTATGTTGGTTTATTTACCAGTTTTTGGAAGCGTTCAGCAGTATTAACCAACTCAAAATCACCGTGCTTTCTAATATTTTCCATAGTTTTACAATAAACAGAATTATTCATTAATTTAAACAAGTCCTTTTCAAAATCATTCTTTGCTTGTTTTCTCTTCTCAGTGTTGAATTCAATGAACGGTTTTAAGAAGTGTGCTTGTTTGAACCTTATTGCTCTATGGACTTTCTTTAGTTTCAAACCGTGTTGCAGATAGAATTTCAAGGCGGATATGTGTAATACATACTTCTGTTTATCCATAACATTTAATACTAATTTGTTTGTTTTATCGTCAGTTGCTTCTTTTCCATAACGGTATCTATGAATATCCTTTTGAACTTGAGATAGCATATTATCATTAATATTCATAAATTCAGGTGCTAATGGGTAGTCCTTGTGTAAGTCGTGAATTTCTTTTGGATATTCTAAATCAACTTCCATAATATAACCTATTTCATCATCATCGGTGTAATTCAATATTTCTGTTCAGCAATTTTGTTGTAGTGCCAATTGAAATTATCATAAGGCAATTTCTTACACATTGCTAAACCATACAAGTTATTAGCATCCAAATAACGTATATAACTTGATGGTTTAGATTTATCAAAGTCTTCATTCATATATTTGTTGTTTGCTTCTACTTTTTTGTATGAGCATTGTGTCATCCCTCCTCTCAGTGCGTTTTCAATCATCTCATACATTTCTTTGATGTGGATTTGTTGAAGTCATTAGGCAAAGTTATATATATATAATATGCTGGGTCTAAACCATAATAGTTTAAGCACACATCCCTGAAGTTTTCACAAACATCAGTCAGCAAATAAACATCGGTCATCAAATACAAATCATGGTATTCACCAAGGTTTTTTATATTAAAGTGTTTCCATACAACATTTGCCCTATCATAATCTCTATCAGTGATATGTTCTTCATACAACTGACTATAGAAGTGTTCCTTACTTGGTAGTTGTTCTTCATCAAATTTATCAAAGGAATTCATATAGTCGTATGGGTATATTCCTTTATCAGTTAGTAAATTTAAATCAGTTTTAGACTTGATATATGGATTTGTTTTTGTATATCTGAAGTGATTTTCCCATTCTTTTACTTTTTCATTTCCTTCATATTTATTTAGTCTGACTAATTTGTCCAGTGATGCTGATAGAAAAGCAAACCTGTCCTTAAACTGACAAGCACCAAATGAAAAGGTTATAAACTTTTCGCTGTTTTGTGCTATTACATCTATCCTTTTGTTTTCATTCAATTCTATGTTCAATTCATTTGCTCTAGCAATGACTAAGTGAGCATCATAGTCTTTTAGGTTATGAAAAAGTATTGGGATTCTAAACAACTTAAATGAATAATCTAAATTACATTTTACATGGCTGCGCCTCTGTATTTACCTGTGAAGTGGCAGTGGTCGCGGACTTTCTCATCATCAGGTTGGAATTTCTTATTACATATTGAGCAGTGAGTTGCTTTTCTAAACTCTAATTCTTGTTCGTATGTAATTTCCATTGGTTTATTAACATTCATCTTTTCAAATATACCTTTCTTAATTTCAGTCAGTTGTTCTACAAACTTTTTCATACAATCCTCACTTGTGTATAAGTATGGTTGGCATGTATTATCAATCCTGCTTACTACATTCAACATATAACCGCACGGTTTATGTTCCTGATATGTGCCTTTTATACCATTGTTGGAGTTTGTGGTTAGACATTAGACATTCAAAATCTCCATAGATTACAAAAGGACACGGTAATTTAGTGTTATGTTTTTCAAATTCAATAATATAACTACCTTTATCAGGCATTTTGGTTTGCTGTCTTTCTGATGCCATACAACCTTTTTCTACATGCTTATTATAGGCCTTTTCCGTTGAGAATGGATTTAAGCAATGATGACAATAATGTTTCCTACTATCATCCTTGTTGCTTTGAAAGTTTAGTAATCTACTCTTATTTTTTACTATGGCGTAAAGATAATAATAATCATCATCAAAAATATTTAACAAATCAATTTCATATCTAGCATTTTTGTTTTTTTTGTTCCTCTATGTAAAATTATTTTGTTGTCCTTCAAGCAGTCATCAGGTTCAAAAACATTTATTGAAACTTGCTTATTGTTTTCTTCAAACCGGTCTATGTCCCTATTCCCTGTAGGAAATTTAACACCTTCCCAATTCAACATATTGTCATTTAACTTGTTATAGTGGAACATCTCTTCTGGATGATTTTTACTGATTTTATCAAAGACTATACATTGAATACAGTATTTGAAACATTTTGTGTCTTTATTTTTATGTTGATACACGCCCTTTTAAATTTAATCCATTCTGGTAGTTCTATATACCTCCCCGCTCTTGTAGGGTCATACTTATCAACATGAATGGCTATTGAAACAATCTTTTTAAATACTAAATTGGACTGTGTGCCTTTTAAATCTTGAATTTTCAATAAGATTTGTTGAACACTATTTTCCAATGCTTGGTTTAACTCATCTTCATTATGAACATTGTAGCGTGTTGCTGGTAATTGATAAAGGTGTTCGCTTGTAGCAATTTTATTTCCTCCATCATCATATTCAAGCTTTTCAAATAAACCATCCGTTCGGATGTTAAGTTTCATATGTCTATTATTTTTAAGAAGTCTCTTAATCGTGATGTTTGATGAGCAATCATTTCCAATCCTCGCTCACCTTGAAAGTGCTTATTGTTAAGTTTTCTGGAATTGGCATAGTTTCTAAATGCTGACTGGACATCATTTACTCTGAATTTATTTCTTATTGCCCTTCTGGTTAATAATACTTTTGCTCGTCCAAGGGTGTAAGCATCTTTTGCTTTGTTTAAGGCATAACTCCTATACCCGTTTGTATGTCTGATTGATTTAAGTTTTTATTTAAAACATTTGATATTTATTTTGCTTTATTGTATCTAAATGTCCTACCATCTATGATTAATTGCTTTAGTTCTTTTCTTCCTCTCTTAGGTAGTTCTGCTAAACCATTATTTAATAGATAATCTATAACTGTTTTCATCATATAATACTCTATATATTTTATTAAGTCATTTAATCTTTAAGTAGTTTTTACGTGAATTATATGTTTTGTTCTTAGAATTTGTCTTTATTATAGTTATTGTGTTTTTTTTTCTGAGAAGTGCTTTATGTTGGTTATGTGAAAAATCTATTTAAAAGAAAAAGATGGTTATATGATGAGAAATGATGATGGAAGAGCAATATTGTAAGAAATGTAAAACTACTAAAAGCATCAATTAATGTTATGAAGGTAATATATGTTGTAAGAAATGTAAAGACTACAACACAAATTACAATTACAATAACAAAGATAGATACAATGAAGCACAAAGAAAAAGATATGAAGAAGATTAATAATATAGAAAAAATAAACTGGAGCAGAAACACAATGTTAATCTAAAAACCATTACCTGTTCTGTTTGTAATTGTTCAATAAGGCAACACCATTTCTCAAGACATATTAAAACAAATAAGCATCAAAGGAACTTAAATAATGGTTTGCTGTGATGATTTTGTGAAAATGAATGAGGTGATGATATGGTTTGCTGTGATGATTTTGTGAAAATGAATGAGGTATAATGATATGGTTGGTAGTGATGATTTTGATATGGTTGATGGTAAAATGAAACAATCAACCATATTAAAAATCTGTTTTTAGTCTGTTTCAATCTATTTTCCAAAACTTCTTTGAATTGTTGTTTTTATCATGTTTTATCATTTTTTCCGGGGAGGGTGGCGACAGCTAGCCGCGTGCGGGTGACAGCCGGTCGAGGGGTCCGGTTTGGGTGCGCAAAAGGTGGTTGGTGCGTGCCAATTGGACCAAACATCAACAGACTATACAGAAACAAAAAGAACACACATAAACTAAATTATATATGTGTATATACACAGTAAAACATTCATTATGAAATTGTTACTGTATACTGTTCATCTCGAGTAAGTTTTCTTTTCGCACCAGACCTCCTCGCGACGACGATGGTCCGCCCTTTGGCCGTGTCGGACCGTCTCCGACGTCCATCGACACGGTCCGGTCACCGCCGAGGAGTGCCTTGCTCTGTGGATCTCCTCGGTCTCTCACATTGTCCTCGGCCACGGATGGCCAGCCCCGATGGGAACCGAAATGGTTGGATGGGAACCGGTCACCGCGGCCACTTCTTCCAGCAAACAAGGACAGCATGTGGGTGGCAGGAACCAAATGGTCACCAACTGATGTGTACGGAGCATGATACTCCCTTGGAAAGAGAGGGGCAGCCAATCTGGTTCACTACTGAGCATTTGATTGCTTCTGTCTCAGGTTCCTCCTGGTGTATCTCAGGAATCCCCAGGACATGATGTAGATTTCAATAAGTGGCAGTGTGTTTTTTTTAATATCTATCATTATAATATCAGAAAAAATAAAAAATCAGCACTACATCGGCACCTTCCCCACCCCCATCGCCACCACCTTCCCTAAAGCGCGCTCTTTCCCGGTCCCCCTCTTTCCCGGTTGCCCCAGCTGGTCGGCCGAACTCCGGCGTCGCCGTCCGAGCGTCGAAGATCACTTGATGCTCGGAGGGCTCCACCACATGGATCCGGCCTAAAAACGAATCTGAGGACTCCGCACTCCACTCCAACGAGGCCTTTCCGTCGTTCCGTGGTGACGACCCACTCAAGCCATCTAAAGCCATCAAGCCAGCGGCTTCAGGACAGACCGTACACGGTGTCCGGAAGTTGGAGACCATGGTGCTCCGTACAAACCTGTTTGTAGAGGATGTCACAGGATATCATGGTCCTCCTTGCAGGGCAATGTACTTCCATAAGTATTTCAAGGAGTGGACATTGATCCACCAAAGCACAGGCCACCGGACATAAGGCGATGGAAAACTCCTGGCTGAGACGAGGATGGCCTGACCGCCTGACCCTGTGGAGGTATCAAGCCTTCCACACTGGGTTCTGGTATGCTCTCCATGGATTCATGAGCATGGAGTTGGATTCATCAGCGACCATGGACAACTCAAAATCCCTCACGGGTCCCTAAAGCCAGGTCTTCTAGCATTCGTCCTCCAGCCTCCATGTGTTTGAGTCTCAGTGTAAAGGTAGAATTGGAAACACCATCCTGGGGTCCCCAAAGAACCGTTCGACAGCACTTGGGCCCCCTTCCGGGGCCAAGAAACACACTCCCTGGAATGAATCATGGAAGCGGATGGCCTTGGACCGTTTTCCTCTACAAACAGGTGCCATCCACCACGTCCGCCGCGCACCAGAAACCACCGGCTACACGGCTACACGTCCTCTTTCCCGGTGAACCATCGACAACACCCGGTGACCCCAATGGATGTCTGGAGGTCCACGATAGATGTCTAATGGGTCGACCCTTAGTGACCAGTTGGCACCAGTTGGCTGATTATCGGAAAATCCCAGGTTCTACCAAGAACTAGCAAGTTCCACCTTCCACATTAGGTGCCTCTATATCGATGACTTTAGCCATCAATGGAATCTCAGGCCATCTTTTACACATGCCGGTGAGAGCGAAAGACTCCATCTTCCATCTCTTCAAGCTCCCTTGGCTCATCTCCCCCGGCTGTCCGCCACCTGTTCCCATTCTGCTCTTCAAACCGGCTCACCCCAAAAGAACAGATCGTGTCCGGTGCATGCCGGTGGTGAACACCGTCCTCCAAGCTCAAAAGCCGTGAAGGATCCACGCCACTGGCTTCGATGACCTCCAGGACCTGCGGTTGTGACGGATGGAGTCGCTGGGAGTTCGACGTTGTGACAGCACATTAACCTTTAAAAAGTAATAACTTGATCTGATTTTCACTTGTGGGTCCTTCCATGGGACATTGACTTTTTCCAAATCATTGCAAATCAAAACGTCTCATTTGGAACTATCTTTAAGTGCTCTCGCCCGCAAGGCTCCATCCCCCATCGCCTGCATGGTCTTGGAGTATCCAAAGGACACCAGGCGTTTCCTCAGTCCATCGATACCTTGAATCTCCGCTACTCCTTCCAACGCCGCCTGACCAGCTGCACAAGCGTTTCCGCACGGCTCGTGGGATGTGGCCACCCGGGGTTGGGAGTGCACAGGATTTGGGTGTAGCCGGATGTTGGTGCAAAAACCGGTTGAAATGTTCCATGATGTTCCATGTGCCGTGTAGCACGCGGATGTTGTGACGTGGCCTTTTGGGGTGCGCAGTCGCTGGTGCGTCGTGCCAGGTTCGGGCATTTCGCACCGGTGACTCGATGCTCGCAAAACATGGAGCTGCAGAAGTGATGGATATAGGATCTATACAATAGATTTGGTCATGACTTGGGCCTATGCTTGTGTAAAATCCACGATCATCCAGAGCAAACTCCTGCTTTCAAGAACTTGAGAACTGTCAACATGGATTGTTCACGGATTTCTTTCCTGGGAATTCTACATGGGTCCTGCAGTAGTTCAGCAAAGCTGGTTCTATCTGCTTTAGCCGTCAGTATTTGTTTAAATTTGACAAAAAGACCATGCAGCAGGCCCAATAACATGTAGTTCCCTTATGATCAACACCACACTGCGTGAAAACCTCGACAAAAAAGGGACTGGTTTAACTCTTTGCCGTTTCAACTTCAACCCACCCAACCACCCACCCACCCACCCACCCCAAAAAGAAGTATGATCGATCAAATCACCAACCGCACGGGGCGTTCGTCCGATCCAGTTGTTGGGTGTTGGCTCTTCCAACACCGAATCGTGGCTGACCCATCCGCCTGGAACTCAGCGAGGGTCACACTGCCTGGTTCGAATCGGTGCTGGGATCGTCGGTGTCGCACTGGTTGATCAGAAGAGCTTTGGCCACAAACTGGCCACCCATTGAATGGTCGTAAAGTTGGATCTTGAGATCATCCATGAAGATTTTTGTCCATTGGTTCTTCCAACTGATTCTTCCACCCGGATCAATTTGCTAGTGTCACTGTAGCCTTGAGAACCCCTTAGATGGACCTAACAATTATTCATTATGACTGTTCTCCCTTTCAGGATGTATTTGTGGAGCTGGTGGTAACCATGGTTTACCGGATGACTTGCTTCGAGTGATCCCCACCCTCAGAGAGTACTTGGAAGAAGGATGGAAGAAGGCAAGGCACATCATACATTAGATATTTGATATTTGACAAACTGTTCAGTAAACTGACACTTGTTCTGGCATCGCCTCTGATGAGCGCACAACGCCAAAGGTGGAAGACCCACAAGGCGCACGCGGTTCCAAGAGTGAGTACCCGTACCCAACAGGGTCTCCGCGCCACCATTCCGTGCCACCATCCCACCAGCTGGAACCATCGAGTTAGTTGGACAGTTTTACTTGCATATGACTATCGTGTTGCAGCCAATGTAGCTTCATTGACACAACATATTCAGGACTTCCCTCATCTCACAGTTTCGCTAGGATGAGTGATGCAAGATGCCTGCTGATGGAGCAAAGCCAATCAGGCCCAAAATTGAACTTTGCCCTTGCCCTGAATCTGCACAGTACCGAGTACTAGGACCGCTGGGAAAGTTAACATTAACAACACCCAATGACCCTGTCCAGTCCATCTCCCTTTTCTTGCATGACCTGTGCCAAGAAACTTGGTATGCCAAAAGCAAACAAGAAGAACAAACATATCAGGAAGTGGATTCCTTCAACAGTTCCCAATATAACTCACCGAACAAACAGTTTACCCCTCGTGCAAAGGACCTGTTCCTTTACTACTAGTGGCAGGCGGCCAAATAATTAATCAAAGAAACAAGGACCAGTTCGTTGCAAAACACATCAGATGACGCAAACCCGATTCCGATGCAGAACCCCGAAACGAAGCGTTTCCATTCCACCGAAGCAAAGCAAACCAAAGTTGAGCTCTGGCACCATCACGGTTCAGGTCTAAGAGCTCAAAGCTCATCCGAGCCTGGTGAGTGCAGGCAGCGTCTCATGGACGATGATGTTCTTTTATTGTGTGTTGACGGATGGGATTCGTCTCATGGGTTCTGTGGTTGGACGGTTTTGGGGGGTTGAAGGGCTTGAAGGCTCTATGTGGCAATGGTCAAAGTAGATGGTTATGATGGTTCAGTTCTATGGCTTATGACTATACAGTATCCATCATATGACCAGCAGCCAGGAATATTTTTTTGTAAGCAAGTACTACGTCAAAAATTTGTGGTTTGGACTACGAAGGATATCAACAAGCAATATTTTAGGGTACGGTATCGGTCTTGTGCGCCATTGCTCCACTATCTAGCCATGGTTTTGCGGAAGCTGTTGGCTCAACCATGGTACGAATCCATCATCATTGATCAGAAAGGCAAGGATCATGTCAATTCGGGCTTTGGTGGTGTTTTGTCTTTTTAGATCCAAATTGACATGAATGTGTCCAACTATATACTATGTTTTCTTTTCTGAGGGGTTATTAGTCAGATTTGGAGCCATACCCACAACACCACCGCAAGAGCTCCTGGAGAGTTTGACTTGCAAACACCAAAAACCGTGCTTACCCCTTGAAAGGGAATGGGAAACTACCCATTACACACCCAAATCGAACAAGGCTCAAAGACTTGGGATCTCAAGATTTCCAGGTCGGCTACAACAGCTTAGCTACGAAACTGCAAGGTGGGGCCGGACTTCGACATCAAAGAAGGGCTGAACCCCCCCCTACCAGGTGAGTTGATCTGGCTTCAACCCTGAAGGTTTGCAAGTATGCTAAGGTAACAACTTTCCTTTGTCGGGTAGTAGGAGGAACAAGCACTTTGATGGTCCACACCTGCCACATCTCCGACTGCCACATGTTGCGACACCTCTCGAAACGTTGCCAAGCCAGAGCCGCGGAACATGGCACCCCACTCCTGATGCGCGCTGTTTCTTGCACCTTGTCAGGTTTGCATTACATCCTTAGGTGGGACAAATGGTACAAATAAACATGCAAACAAGTCAAGGTGTGGATAGTTATCAAGCACCGGGCTTGCGCCAGATAATTGCAGTCTTGGCTCTGCAACTGAAAGCCGCTTGATCCTTTTTGGGACTTGTCCTGAAACTGATCACTGAAGTTGTGCCCCACACAAACGCTACAGAACATGTTCCATCAACCAATCACCTACAACTTTCCTCTCCAGTGCTTCAACAGCTTCTCGCAAACCCTCCACCCCCAACCATCATGATGATGATGATGATGACGATGATGATGAAAATATCCACCGTGCATGGTGCATGGTGCCTTTCTTTTTGAGAGCATCACCAGAAACGCAGCTGGCACGGGGGAAACTGCGAAACTGCTCCGCTCCGGCTCCAGAGGTTCTCCGGAAGCGGTTCTCTGCTGGTTCCGCTCCTGGGGGCCGATCTTCTCATTCACATTCAAATCCAGAACCCGGAAGGCATCCGCCAGGCATTGGTGCTTGCCCAACAGCCTGGGTCCGAGGTCCACCACGGGCGCTGTCGGACCATGCCGGGGGTGTGCAACATTGTGCAACCCTTAGTGGAAAAGTACAAATGGCATCTATGACATGGAAGACAAGCATGGTTTGTGGGGTTCCGCGTCCATCTTCCGTGAATTGTCCCTTTTCAGGTTCATGTCTCCTCTCTTCGCGGGGTGTGACGTCTCAAATAAGGTGATTCCAAGCACCGTTCTTCCCGACCTCCCCCTCGCTTGCCAACAAAAACACCGTTCTCCCCTTCCCCTCCCGGGTGAAGCGAACCACGGACACCGCTTCCGGCCTGGCCTCTTCCGGAATTTTCGCAGGGAGAAGTTGCAATCATCTGGGACTGGTGCAGTGGACTGTTTGAGGTGCTGCTTTCGGATTTGCGCGGTCTCCTGGTTCCGGTCGAAGACGACCACTGATAAGACCAGGCTCTTCTAAGACCAGGCTCTTGGAAAGCTTGACAAGAGCCAACCACTGAAATTCTGATACACAGCGCAAAACAAATAACAGAAGGCTGGTTTGCCAGACTCTTCCTAGCTTAGCAAGCCACTGGTGACTAAGCAAAAGGAGTATCAGCAGCACTCATTGGGCAAGATCTTAGCTTGCTCGACATTTGCACATACAAACATGGCATTGAACAGCATTAAGATGACATCATTCTGTCACTTACAGTAAAGGTTCAGGCTCGGGGGGCTCTGACCTTCCCAGAGATCGGTTTCCTGCTTGTTGGCCTTCTTCTGGTCTAGCTCAAGTTGTCTACACTTGCATCTGACCAACGTGGTGCCATTTGAGCTGGCTGCACCCCGCGGCCGCACGTCCTTCAGAGAGTTCTGCCTAAATATGGGTTTCTTTCCTCACGCGTGAAGGATGGTCAACATTTGTTCTTCCCCAAAGACATATCATGTGTTCCAGCCTCTGCGTCTTCCTCGTTCTTTCACCAAACAGAATCCAAAAAAGAATCCCAAACCTCCAAATTCCCGCTTCCAGGCTTCGACCTCTCCAATTTCTGCCCTCTACAACTGAACAGTTCCTTGGAGATTTCTGCGGTGATCTCTCCGATTTTGCCTTGGATGGTTAGACCAGACACACCTTCGATGCACCCACATATGGATCTCGGGATCTCCATTTCTGAGGAAAGACTGGGTTTCAAAACAAGACCTCACTGCAAAGGGTATATGAACCGCATATATATATATATATATACGTTCCCTTTGCCACCCATAAGAGCCAAAAACACAAACAGCATCGCCGTATCACCTAATGACATGCACAAACCAAATTGGTAGCAAATCATATGGAAGGCTGGGGGATGTCACGACCGAACGAGGCGGGGCCGTGAGGTTTCCTGCCAACCTCCGCGCTTTTCTCGCGCCAAACAGCTCAAGGCCTTTCGGCCAGGTGAACAAACATGAAACACCTGTCATGAGCTCAACCGTCCAAAGGTCATGGGGTGCATGTTTCACGTTTCTCATCCGTTCTATTTTCAGTGGCCTTTGGACGGGGCTCAAAGAAAGTGACCAGCGTCTTGGCTGGGACAGGCAAAAGTTCTTGGTGAACAGCCTTGTCCATCAAATCGACGCGCTCCTCCAAGATCTGCCATGTTGACTGATCTCGAACTCTAAATTCGGCCACTGTCGTCCGGAGCGGATGATCCCTCAGAGCGAACCTCGGAGTGGGTCCTCTCAAGCTCTTGGCCTGGTGGGCGACCAAGATGCCAATCCCGTCCACAAAGTGCCATCCGGCAGCCAAGGACAGGTGATGCACATGCTGCATCAGTTGGAAGTCTCCGCTGTTGGCCTCACGTCCAGGCAGGATCGTGCCATCTGCCAAACCTTTCTCGCATGCCTTCTTTCGCTTTGCCGTCTGCTTCACAAAGTCCGGCTGGAACTCCACGCTCCATTCACCTCGAAGAAGGGCTTCACGAAGGTGTTGGCCATCCATGGCTTTCGTTCCGGCGTCGACGAACATGTTGGACGTGGCTGTCCATCGAAAGCTCGTCTGAGGACGGCGCAATTGCTGTCGCAAGCCAGCCACCGAAAACATCAAAGACTTCTGGCTTCCAAATCCTGTGTCGGAAGTGATGCGGTCGAAGCAATCTTTCGCATCAGTGACACCCATCAAAGGAACTCGGGTGATCTGCCAGTAGCCATGTGGATGTAGTGAGACTCCACGAGCTTCTGCAATGAAGCCTCTCACCAAATCAGCAGCATCCATGCCTTCCTCAGCGCCAACCGTTTCCGAGGCATAGGAGCTCCGGCAAACCCGAGCCAATCGATGGCTTCTAAAGTCCACCACATTGAACATCCCACGCTTGCCCTCGGAGAGTGCAGGGTCTGCCAGCAGAATGGCATAGCAGCTTTGGCTGTGAACGCGGCTTTCTGGAGCATCAGCCACTGAACCACTGCTATCAACATTGCCCAATGCTGCATCACAAACCATCAAAACACCAGCGGTAGCCAAAGGAATCCGCTTGAACTTCAACGAAAAATCTCCATGCTTCTTCGCCTCAAGCAGGGCCTTGTTAGCTTGCAACAATGTGCTCATGGTGTGAGGTGCACTCTGTAGGCTGCTGACCAAAAAAGCAAGGTCAAATCTGACCTGAGCGACAACCCATTGCAGCGACCCCAGGATGCCTCTCAGCCTCTTCACATCAGCTGGGCTCAATGGTGCATCCAGAGCTAGCCGCTTCTGTCGTGGAATGACCAGCGGTTTCAGCTGCTGGTGGTAGGTGGTCATGCTGATGATGATCTCCTTGGTGTCCTTGTCACGGCGAATTCTCTTGCCGCACCAATGGAAGTCATCAGCTTCAATGGACCCATAGCCAAGCTTTTCGCCCAGTCGAAGAAGCGAGTCCAAGGCTCTCTGGTTGCCTGTGAACAACAAATCATCAACATGCCCAACAATGGCTCCACACAGCTTCTTCTCCTCCTTGCCATGCTCCCAAAGAAACCAAAGGGCCTGATCCAGCTGGGAGATTGTCCAACCTTCCTGCTTCAGCTCTCGAGAGAGACGGAGCCACCATTCCCTGGGCGCATCTGCCAAGCCAAAAACTCCCTTGAGGACTCTTGCAAGGCTGCCATGAGGAATTGGAATCGAAGGGCCTCTTGAAGCATTCGTGGAGGTGATGTAAAGGACTCTCCTCACATATGGATCACCTTTGAGAAAGGCTGCACGCACATCTGCTGATCGAAGAAACCAGTCTGGGTGCTCAGCCGCAATGCAAAACAAGGTGTGCTGTGCGATTCTTGAACCAGTTGGAGCATCTCTGCGCAGCTCATTGCGCAAGTTTGCCAAGTCACGATAACCTGGAACCACAATCCTTGCTGAAGCCTTCAGTGGAAGAGGGCACTGTGGTGTGCGCAAGCCACTGTTCTTGTCGGTGAAGACGAATCTGGGCTGCAGGATGCGGTCAAGTTCACCCTTTCTCTCAAGCTCCTGTCGAATCTGGCGGCTTTGAACCAAATCAAGGACCTCAATGGCGCCATTCTCAACCCACTTGGACCACTGCTCCTCAGCTGCGGTGCGGAATTGAGCTCTTGTCTCCTCATCCATGGTCGACCATCGCAGCTCCTTGTGGTTTCCTCCTCCAGTCTGTGCCTCCAGGACTTCCTGCATGTCAGCTCCTCCAGAAGGCCAACTCCAGTTGGCGACCTCATAGGTCTCCCAGTCTCCTCTTGATGGCAGAGGCCACCGACCATCCCAGGTGCCATGGTCCTCCTCCATGAGGTAGTTGTTCTTGATGTCCTCCTGGGCTTGAAGAGCTGCTCGCAGAAGTGGGTGAATCACTGTGTCCTGCTCAGCTAGCAGCACGTCAATGCTGCGACCACCCAATTGCAAAGGCACCATGCTCCTTCTCTTCGGATCCCTTTCTTCAGCTGCACCTTCTGAAAGTGCACGTCGAACTGAGCCCTGAGCGCGTTCGAGTCTCGGATGAAACCCGACCGGAGGGGTTGGGCCCACCTCAACCGGAGGCCAAGCCGTCGACGGGAGGGGTCCCACCGCACCTCCAAGAGGATCAGGTGGACTGCTCGAAGGGTCAGTCGATCCGGTCACTGGAGCTGTTGCCGTCAGGTCAGGCTGTGAAGGAAGAGCCTGCTCAGCTTCTGCCGGTTCCTCCGCCACTGCCTCCAGCTTTTCCTCATCACCACCACCTGGCTTCGCCACAGAAGTCTGTCGAGACATCGATCCAAGAGGCAAAGCTGAGCCCAATGAAGAGCGCCTTGAGGTAGTCAATGAGTTCGCTAAGCTCTGAGGTGCTGAGCTCGCTGCTGCTGACTGCAATGCTGGAATCAGATCTTGAGCTTGAAAAGGATATGGAAAAGTCACCGCTGGAGTGCCAGAGCGAGAACTGGTTTGAACTGTCGGCTGCATCAAGCCAGCTTGACCATCACTAGGACGGCCTGCTTCATCAGGCTGTTGTTCATCACCAGGTGCTCCACCATCTCCATCATCATCTTCCGAAGGGCCCTCAGGCTGAACCTCATCATCAGGGCCAGCTGAGGCGTTGATCACATCAGCAAGAAGTTCTTCCCATTCACTCATTGCCAGTCGCTCCAAGGTGGAAGCCGGTCGGATATGCTCCATGGCACATTTGGTCAAGTTGCCACGGTAGGCCAGGTAGGCCGCAGTTGGAGTTCGACCGCCTTCAATGGCAGTGACCATTGCCGGACCATGCCACTGGTTGAGGATGAGGCGCTTGCGCTTGGTTCCTCTTGTTCCACCTCCTGGAGCCACCTTCTGCTGCCAAAAGAAGTAGACAACATCACCAAGCTTGTAGCTCTGCCAGGAAGTTGCCCGCCTTGCCCTCGAAAACTCTGCCCTCCTCAAAGCCTGTGAGTACTTCATTCTCACAAGAGCCACTCGAGCTGCTTCTTTCATGGCCGCTTGACGAGCCAAAGATGGACTGTTCTCCAGCAGCGAATGAGTGGAGAGACGCAAACGAAGGTCATTGGGGATCACCTCCTCAGCAACTCTCGGCTGTTTGCCAAGAACAAACTGGGCTGGAGAGTAGCCAGCTGAGCCGATGTCTTGATTGCATGCATCAACAGCTGCTGCAAGGGCTTCTTGTACTTCACGGCGTCCCTGACAAGAGTAGTCCTTGATGAGCTTTCCAAGGATCACCTTCAAAGAACCTCCGGCTCTTTCTGCCAGGCCGTTGGCCCAAGGTGCTTCCACGGGCGTGTGGTACAACACGATGTCATGGAAAGCCATGCAGCTTTGCATTTTATCTGAAGTGAACTCTGGGCCACAATCGCTGACCACGAGCTTTGGAGCACCAAGCACAGGAATCCAGTGCGTGTTGAAGAAGTGCACCACTTCATCTGAGCTCTTGTTCTCCATTGTCTGGGCGATCTGGTAGCCGCTGGCTGCATCAATGCCATGCGTGACCCACACAGTCTGTTGGTGGATGTCTTTGATGGCCACCAGATCAACATGTACTTGATCTCCAAAGTGTCGAGGCTTTGGCAAGGAAGATGGCCGATGTGAAGTAGGCCTCTGGGTCTCTTGACAAACCTCACAACGAAGCTCTTTGGCCGCCTTGATCACTTCAGGAGCAGCGCCAGAGACAGCTAAGGCTTTGGCCAACCGAAGAGGAGCTCGATGACCTGTGTTCTGGTGAAGCCTGAGCACTGCTTGTCGTTGAGCTCGGGTAGGCTCCAAAGCTTGGTCGACATCCAAGTCATCCTCCACGTCAAAGTCATCCTCATAGGGATTGAGCTGTCCCTCAGGCTCTGCTTCATCGCCAGCTTCTCCTTCACCCATCATCACTTCAAACTCTGAGTTCCCTTCTCGCACGAACTGTTTCTCCAGGCCACGGACAAAGGCGCAAGCCAGGTCAGGAGGGTAATGTCCAGCAAAACGAGCCACATTGCCTCCAATCACGTGCTCATGCTCATGGCCACCACTGCAAAGATGACCGGAGAGCTCCTTTGCAACCTCCTCCGATGAAGTCAGCACCCAAGTCCTCTTCCTATGAAGTCCTCCTCCAGGGCCTCGAAGACCAAATGAGCACTGATCCAGCTCGCACAAAAACAAGCCAGGCTCATCCAAGAGCTTCTTCAACG